ACATCGTCAGATGATGCAGCTGCAGATTGAGCCACGCTGCGTACGTCGGTTGGCCGATTAATCGTAATCATTGCACAGCGACATCGGTGCTTTAAAAATCAATTCTTCGATATTATGGATGTTAAAGGATCGTGAATGTGCCAATAAGTCCGTTTACGGTTGTAAGTTGTGTGCGAGAAGGGGGCCGGGTGGTAAGGTTTTAATCCTTATTATACAGAGTGTAACAGATAGGTCGACATTTGAAAAACTTTTGTTCTAATCAATATTTAAAATTTTTTCTTTTATATTTAATTTATAGCCACTTTCATTACACGTGTAATAAAAAATTAATTATTTTTATATTTAATACTGAAAATACTGTAAGTACCCACATAGATATGTTATCTAACAGTGGAAATAATTATTTTAAATATTTATTCGTACCATATGATTGATAATTAATATAAACGCAATAGTGAATTATTTTATTTTACAAGTTTTATCTTATTCATTTTTTTTGTAAATCATTTTTTATTTTACAGTTTTTCCATTTAGTTCTTATAGGCAGTTTATAATTTATATTTTTCTTAAATATACAAAATCGTGGTTCAGGGTTCTTAAGTAATGGTAGATTATATATGAGCACCGTTTACAACTGAAATTGTGTAAATATTTAAGTTTTTGAAATATAATAATATAAAATATATTTATCTACATAAAATGCAGAAATCATAGAACGTGATGGTTAGTAAATAACCTTGTATAAAAATTACAAAAATAAAATTTTGTAATAAAATAAATTAAATAATAATACACTCATAGTGGTCATATGACATGGAAAATATAATGATGGTTAAAATAGTGATTTGTTCTCTTACCAAAGTGGTGTAGTAATTAATAAAGGTATTCATATTTATTGTATTGTGGTTTATTCAGCTATTAAAATCAAAATCAAAATGTTCAATTTTAATTTCAATTTAACTTATGAATATTTGTTTTTTTTTTTTATTTCAATCTAAAAAAAAAAACATTACAATTTTATAATTTTATTGTTTCATTAGTGTTGCACAATGTCGATTTAATTGTATATATATATATATATATATATATATATATATTGTATTATCTATTGTATTAGATTTTAAACGTAGTTTTTTGATTTAAAATATAAATTTTACATTTTATTTTGCAACGATTTAAATTTTTATATTTTATATTAATATTTAGATTTTTAAATACTTACGAGAAACCTGTAGGTTTAATAGGTTATTACTTAAGTATTATCTAATAACGTATTACATATTATGAACAATATTATACTTTATAGACCTATGGAGTATGGACTATTGTTGAATTAAAATTTAAATCGTACATTTTAAAAAAATTTTAATTGATTTGGATATACAAATCAACGAAAACGATCATTATTATTTTGGTATAAATTATCGATTTAAATCGTTTCGAAATTTGAATACCATTAAAAAAAATTGATATCACTTGATTTTTATCGGATTTTAAATCGGATTTTTAAATAATTTATTTCAATACAAGGGAGTGATTAATCAATACTTTTTGGTGGACTATTTTGTAAATCAATATATATTTAAATAAACATTTTTATGATTTAAGTCAACTTGACGTGTATGTTGTAGACGTTTACCAAAATTGGAATATATGGGAATAACAATGTCCAATATTTTTCCAATATTCAGTGAAATATTTTGGAAGGCGATTTAATTATTTACACAATACTAGATGGAAACTTTTCCAAAGTAAAATAGTAAAATATATAAATAAACCGCAATATTTGACGTCTTCCGAAGAACGAATCACCTTCAAGAGATATGGTCACGCCACCATGTCAGAGCTTGCTTCACACTATAGGCGAAAGCCGGCACTGTATAAAAGGATGTTCTTGATGCTTCGTTCCGGCATAACGCAATTTTTCTGCAAATATAATATTCTGTGAGTATTCAGTTGAAGAGAAACTACATTTCTTTGATCTATATATTATTTTAAATTTTAGTGTTTTATATTTTAAATTTTATTTTATTTTTTTGTCTACTTGCAGTTTTCACTTTACTCCTCACAAAAACCAACCAAAAACCAAAAATGGGCGCTGAAAAAGTAACCATGAACATCGTCGTCGTCGGACAAGTCCAATCTGCCAAGTCCGTCAAATCTGTGGCCAAAGCCACCCCCACCACCAGCCAAATGATGGTGAGTTGACAATTCTGAGAGGATTTTTAATTTCGAATAATAGTGGGATCGTATTTTTTTCACTGCTGCAATATTTGCAATATTTGCAATATTGTTATTGTGTTTCAATTTTATCTCATTGTTGTGCACATGCGTTAACTGGTATATTTATTTAATTTTTCACAAGGTATATAAACTAAATCAGTCGTATAATATTCATTTTTATATCAAGTACGTCATTAAAATATGTACATTTTTTTTTTTATTATAACTCAACAATTAGAGCTTTAATAATTTTCTTCAATATTTTATCACTACATCAAATTGAATTATAATTTACTTTATACAAATAACTTATTTTTTATAATTTGTAATCATAATTTACTATTTACTAAACATTTAATCTTTTGATAAAAGTCTCGAAAATCTATTTTCTCTATCTCTTAATAGTACTAAAATTTTATTTTAGCTTAAAATAGCGATTTTATCTTAAATATTTTCGCACACATTTTGTCATAATAAGCCGTCAGTGTTGTAGTAAATGCATTTAAATACTTTTATAGTATAACTTAAAACTTTTTAAAATTAAGTATTAGGAGGTATTTTAATACAGTATTTGTATAACTATAGGTATTTGAAAATCAAATAATTTTTTATAAATACTTTTGAAAATGCAAAAGAATTATTTGTCGCAGTTCAGGTTGTTATTTGATAATTACTATATTATTTAGTTCTACCAAGATTTTATACTTTTATATTTTAGTATATTATATTAATTGACTATTTTTTTTTTTGTTTCAGAACTGTTAATTCAAGTCCACATCAACCTCAAACTTAAAAATGCCATAGCCCAAACAGTACATAATTTTATAATTTGTTTTTAATTATATAATAATGTGTATTGACATTGCAAAATAAATCAGTCTCTTCCGTCAATTATATCGTTTATTATTTATTTACGCCATTCTGGGGTCTTATTATAGTTTATATGTGTTTGTTAATTATGTAATTGATAATCAACGATAACCTTTTCTGTCGCTCAATTTGTTTGTTTTTCACTTACCTACTCTAAATATGTAACATTTTGACTACCGACTTCGTTCCAGTTAAGACTAGAGAATATTTTTAAAACAATTTATATAATGGTGCATAATATATTATAATTTATATTAATTGTATCACCAGCATTTAGAACTATGAACAGTACCTAAAAAGCCTTATTTTTGATTTTATTATCAACTCACCAATACAAAAATTGTAAAGTGTGAGCTTAATATAAAGAACATATGTTTCTATACTTAAAATATTACATTTTTATGATGTACTGCGTGTGTTGTAGAAACAATAAATGGTAATGAGCAATTATATATCAATTTTAACATAATATCAGAGTTCATTTAAATTCCAATGTATTGACAACATATTTTTTACTATTTATAATATTACATAGTAGATCGGTTATACACAACAAAGTTTAACACTAGCTCAATAATATCAGATTTATCTCATCGATTCTGTTTGAAACGTTTACTAGGGCGTACGATTTATGGAATTTAAATATTTTGATATATTTATTATACATACTAGTATCTAATCAGTGTATAAATCACAAAATGTTTATTAATTATTTATAAGTTACAAGCAGTGTTGGGAAAAGAATCAAAAATCAAAAATCATCTGGATAAGATAACAGATATTTCATTCAAAATTTATCTAGATAAAGATAAAAATACAAATACATTTATCTAGATAAAAAAAATAGATAATTTGTTTTTAAACTATATTATAAATAATGTAATTTATTAGTAATTACTAGTTGGGTAATATTTATTAATTAATAAATCGTTAATGTCATTTCTCAACTAAAATAATATAAAATTTTAATTTTTAATACAACTTGAATAAAAATAAAATAACCAAATAAAACTGACAATATTTCAGTAAACATTTCTTATTTTAACTATAATAATATTGGAATTTGGAATCACTACTCGGTTCTCGTAAATTGCTGACTATTTCAGTATTTAAAAATATTCTTTTTATGATATTATTTTTCTAGATAAGTTACCACAGGTAACCATTACATTTATCTAGATGAGATAATTAGATGATTTAATTATTTTTATCTAGATAATTCCCAACACTTGTTACAAGTAACAAGATACTCAGTTTAAGATTAACGAATTCGTTAGTTAAACGAGTTTAACACAGTTAATTAAATCATAATATCATACCCACGATGAGATTTCATATTTCAATATAATAATTTTTAAGATTTCGACTATAAATTAGTTACATTCAAATTATAATTATGTATATGACATTTTTCAAATTGTAAATTTATGAGGTCAACTTTCAACAGAATAATTAAGTAAAAATATACACTCAGACGTTTGGTCGTAGTACTGATCTAAACAAAATTTCTAAAAACACAATACATTTTTAAATTCTGAAACCATTGACATTTGGTAGATACTGATAATATATCAAAATACTTTGGTTTCCCGCCTGCGCACATTATTATTATTATATAATTTTCAACCGGAACAAAATAACAATTTCAAATATCCGACTGGCTTGTTATAAAAACATAGAATCCGTCTCTAATGGTATAAACGCTCAACGTTTGTTACAATAAAGTTATCATTAACGTACAGTGGACCGATATTTATCAATCTTCGTCAATCTTCGACTTCTTGTTATTTTCGAATAAAATATCTATATTCTATATAGTATGGACGGAGGATCTCCGACATTCATCGAACCCTATTGGAGACCAAATCGTCTCGTTTGTTAGAAACGGCTGGAACCGACGCCGATCGTTATAGCCAAAACGTATTGGAGACCGTTGTTCGCATAGTCACTCGCAAGTGGTGGAAGCGGCCACCGACACCTCTTGTCGCCCAAGCAGCGTTGAGACCGACGCCTGTTGTCGCCGAAGGCGGGTAGAGGAAAAATAAAAAACACACTTTTTGTAGAGAGTATACCGAATCGTTGTGGTGAAATCCAAACCTGTCGACTCTGAACGTCTCCACTGAATCCATAGTTACATTGTCGCCACATCGTTGATCGAGGCCGTCTTCCGTCTTACGCCTTTGGCACGTCTGGTAACGGTGTGGTATAAGCTTTTTGACAGGTGTCATGGAAAACGGGTTCGGTGTGGCGACAGTGGCGTAGCCAGGGGTGTTTTGGGTGTTCAACACCCACCATTGAAATTTTCCCATCTAATAAATATATTGTTCGGAACTGCTTGCATGTTTTATTGTAGTGGTGGTAGATTATTTTAGATAAGTTATGAATTTGTCTTATGAAATTTTTTTATGCCTTATCCAACAAAATTTGCATACTTTTGCATATTTTAGGAAAAGTGTACATTTGAGTGATTTTTCGCATATTTTGTATTTTTTTAACTTAAATGTACATACAATTGGCAGAAAAAATCATATTTGGATAACATTGAAAAATATCTTTAAAAATATTATGTTTGGTTAGGTACAATAGGAACTAATTTTGAGATTTGGGGACGCCGAAGCCTAACACCCTACTATTATAAAATTGAATAAGCTTAAAAAATTTTAGTAAATGTTTTGGAGGGCTGTTGCTTGTTAAAGGTATTGGTGGAGCTTGTCTATGGTTGGCCCTATTTTCGCATATTTTACGTAAGATAAGTCTATATAATATAAGTCTCTTTGTGGCAAGACTGTGTTAAAACTATAGTTGACATCTAGATTCTAGATTGTACGAAGAAATGAAAATCAGTAGATACTCGTTCGTTTATCACAGTGTTCGCATATCACGTTATTGGTTATTACTTATTTATTAACCTAGAGTACCAAAATTGTAATAGGTTTTATGAATTTTTCAAAAATAATATAAAATGAAGCTGCATATATTTAAGCATATTTTGACAATTTTAACTGCATACTTCGATAATTTTTAGTGCAACAAGTCAAGTCCCGAACCCTAAATTTATTTAAATTCGTAAGTTGTAAAAACTTGGTTTTAATCTATACTTAAACAACCCCCCCCCCCCCCATTTCATAATCCTGGCTACGCCACTGTTTGGTGATAATGTGCAGGTGAGTAGATCGGAACAGGCTTCGAGAACCCTTAAATTTCGAGATGTACTGCTATCACCTTAGCTGACTGTCCATTTAACTATATAGTAAAGACGATTGGAGTTGACATGTTCGGATTTCACCAAAACGATTCAGCATACTCTCTACAAAAAGTGTTTTTATTTATTTTTCCAAAAGATGATTAACAACTCTATTGCGTGTTTTTGTCATGAATTGACTTTATTTTGTTTTTGTCATGAATTGACTTTGTTTCGTTTTTGTCATGAATTGACTTTGTTTCGTTTTTGTCATGAATTGACGTTGTTTCATTTATATGGTTAAAAAAAAGTAACGTTATATTTTGCAACACACTACTTTATTAATGAAAAAGTAATTTAACGTGATATAAATAATTTTAGGTTACACAAAATAAAATTATTTGAAGTAACGAGTAACGTAATTTTATTACTTTTTAAAAGTAATTTACCCAACACTGCATAGTTGTATAAGGCACGAATAAGTATAGATATGAAGTATTTGCTCATTATATATTTTACGGCTTATATAGTTTTATGTAACTATTAATTTAATATCTAATTATTATATAGGTAGTCAAAACCTCTATATTATGAAAAATTATTTTCTATATACATAAAAGAAACATAACAGATTTATTTGACAAGTAGGTATTTAATGGTTTGACTTGTAATATAAATTTAACCAGAGATTTGAGTATAGGTCATCATAAAATGATTATATTAAAAGAAAATCTATGCCCTATGGACGTTAGGTATTAATAGTTATTACATTTATTGCCAAAACGTAATTTTAATAGTATAGCAACAAAGTCTTTAATTGTATTTAAAATGTTTAAAAAGGTGCTCTGCTGCACAGTAGGTTACAAGTGGGTTACTGTATAATTGATGGTATTACATTTGAAGTCAATGATATTATATCATTGTATAAGAAAAACGATTCTGAGCGGAGACGGTATGTCAGTCTAGGTTTAAGACATATTAAGCATGTTGTATAGGAAATGGTAATAAAAACATTCAGTGAAAATTGCACGTATCTACAGTTATTCGTTAAATATTACAACAAAATAAGGAAATCGCTACATGAGAAATCGAGTGAATATCCAAAGTTCTAAAAATTTGAATTTCAAACTCTCAAAAAAATTTAATTTGAATTTCTTATAGACATTTTTTTTTTGATAAAGGTAGATAATCTTATAAGAAATTTTGTATTACATTTTAAAATCTTAGATTTAAAAAGTAAAATTTTTACGAACTCTTAACTCAAAATAATTTGCTAATTTTCGTGATTTTTCCATATTTTGTCAATTTTTGAACTTTGAATGCTTATAAAAAAAAATGTGACTAAGAATTTTTAATATTATTCATCTGCCTTTGAAAAAAATATACTAGGAGCCTTCTTAGATTCTAATGGAAAGATGATATTGATATTACAATAATGTGTGTTTGTTTTTTTTTTTTTTTTTTATTTTTTTTTGTGTCTGTGTACACGATAAGTAGTCGAAAAAATGCTTCGATTTATAGGCATTAAAAGATCGAATTTTGACGAAATTTATCAAAATTGATCGAAAATTATCAATCATTGTAATTAATAAATTATTACATGTTTAATTTTTATAGCTAAGGATTACAAATTTAAAACAAAGGTTCTCATAAATAGTTCATACTGTAATCAAAAAATCTAAAAAATATATGAACACAGTTATTTTTTACAGACATTTTAATTCAAATTTGGACGAAATTACATAATAAAAAAGTTGGGTAAGTGGATGTCGCTCTACTGTACTGTAGGTTACAAGTGGGTCACTGTATAATGGATGGTATTAAATTTGAATGCAATGATATAATATCATTGTAAAAGAAAAACGATTCTGAGCGGAGACGGTATGTCAGTCTAGGTATAAGACATATTACATACTTTTCTATGGTATTAAATTATATGGAATTTATGAATAAATTCCTAAAAATATGCACAGTCTTATCATGAGCATAATTCTTATTCCTTATACTATGGTAGATTGTATGGATAGGCCATAATATTTTGATTCTTCAGTTTCATATATCCCCGAATAATATTTTTAAATTACAACAAAAACAAAGATCGTTAATATTGATTTTAATATGTAATTTCGTCCAAATTTGAATTTAAAATGTCTGTAAAAAATAACTGTGTTCATATATTTTTTAGATTTTTTGGGTACAGTATGAACTATTTATGAGAAACTTTGTTTTAAATTTGCAATCTTTAGCTATAAAAACTGAACATTTTATAATTTATTAATTACAATGATTGATAATTTAAGAGATTTTGATAAATTTTGTCAAAATTCGATGTTTAAATGCTTATAAAAAAAAATTGTGCCTATGTATTTTTAATATTTTTCAATTGCTACTGTAACAATATATCAGGAACCACCTTGTATTAAATTTTTACACTTTTTGACCCAACAGATAAAACTTTATTGATATTTATAGAAAAAAAAACTAAAAAAATTGAAAACTGAAAATGTCCGTAAAAGCTCAAAAAGAGTCGAAATATTTTCAAAATTGTACAGTGTATTGGAAATGCTAATCTAAACATTCAGTGAAATTTTCATGTATCTATAGTTATTCGTTTTGGAATTACAACAAAATAAGAAAATCACTACATGAGAAATCAAGTGAATATCCAAAGTTGTAAAAATTTGAATTTCAAACGCTCATAAAAATTTAATTTGACTTTCCGGTAGAGATTTTTTTATTGATAAAGGTAGACAATCTTATGAGGAATCTTGTATTACATTTTCAAATCTTAGATTTAAAAAGAAAAATTTTTGCGAATTCTTAACTCAAAATCATTAACTATACCAAAACGAACCATTTTCGTAAATTATTCCAAAACGTACTTTTTTTTTATGTTATGTCAAAACGTACTACTGCCCGTATTGTAGGTATAGCGAAATAAAATAGTTAATCCAAAACGTACTAAAATATAATTTATAATTTATAATATTCACAATCATTAAGTTTGAAATTAAATTAAAAATATAATCCTAGATTATTAAACACATTTGAGTCGTTTTTAATAGAAATAATATATTATTAAATAATTTAAAAAATCTTCCTTGTCTTCAAAATTACTTTTTTATTTATAAACGGTTTGTTCATATTGAAACAATAAATAAGAAATTAATAATATTTTTATTTTGGAAAAAGCACATTTTGGAGTATATTTTAATATTTTATTAGGTTTTCCAAAATGAACTATTTCCATTAAATTTTCCCAAATGTACTATTTCCATTAAATTAATGGAAAAGGTATACGTTTTGGATTATTTTACATTTTTATATGACAAAAAAATATGTAGATGTAGAATCATTAAAGTCATTCATCTAAATTTTAAAAACAATACTGATAGGTAATATTATTTTCACAGGCAATTTAAAAAAGTCCCTAAAAAATAAAATAAATGTGTATATTGTATAATAATTAATAAATTAACATATACAGCCATTGGCCATATGGGGCCCCGCGAAATTCTGCACCGGGCCCCGAAAACCATCGGGCCGGCACTGGTATCAGGGTTTGTTGTTGGTGTAAAAAGCGTTATAAGTAAATAATGGATATTGTGATATGATTAATTTGGGATTCATTATAGGTAAATTTTTTTTAATACCATAGATAAGTATATGATATGTCTTGTACCTAGAAGGACATACCGTCTCTCCTTATACAATGATATAACATCATTGAATTCAAATTTAATACCATCCATTATACAGTCACCCACGTGTAACCTGCTGTACAGCAAGAGGGACACCCACTTGCCCACCTTTTTTTATTTTTTTTTGTGTCTGTCTTCACGTTTTAGGACAGTAAAAGTGTTTGGATATTCTTCAACAGTAGCTTTTCTGATATTAAAGTGAATCTAGTTATTACTTTGGGAAGTCAAAAGTAAAAATTTCCTAGTAGTTTTCACAAGCGCCATAAAAAACAACAAAAAAATTAAGGAAAAACGGGAATTTTTACGCAAAATCGGTTTTGGTTTTTGGTGTAACTCTAAAACAAAT